AGAGAAATATGCCAACTGCCCAGTACAGTTGCTGGTGGACATGCCACTCTCTATATGACAGTTAATAGTATCCTTAGAAAACTAGCTTTGACTCACAGAAAGTCCCTCTTCTGAACAGTTGTTTTTTTAGCAATTTATGCCTATTGGTCTCAGTTCAGTTCTTTTAGGTCACCCAAGAGGACCCAGTCCCTTTCCCTTCTGTACCAAATACATAGAGATATTCTGGGATAGTTACTTGATCACTCTGGAGTGTTTTCACCCAAGGTAAGATAGGGATTAGAGGACTATCCTTATGGTGATTTCCTGAGAATTAAAAACCAGAGGCATATGACTGGAAAGAATTATAGAAAGTATAGAAATTATAAAGTAGTGTGAATCCTAATTGGTCTTAATAATAAGAACTGAGTCAGGGGTAAATAGGGGCAAATGCTGAAAGAACAGAGAAACCGAGCAGCTCAACATAGTTCTTACCTCTACCGAGTCCTCAGACTGAATGGGCGAGCCTGTCTCTAGGAATCCTCAGACTGAATCCGGTCCCTACAAATTCTCAGACTGAATGCTCTGAGCTTCTGTCTCCTACCACCTTATATTCCTCTCTCTGTCCAGCCATATCCCTTCCTGTTTCCACCTCCCTAGCACTGGGATTAAAGGTGCATGACTCCCAAATACTGGGATTAAAGGTGTGAGGCACCACTGCTTGACTTTGCTTCTCTGTTAAACTGGATCCATTTCTTGTAGCCCAAAGTGGCCTTAAATTAACAGGGATCTGCTGTCTCTGTCTCCCAAATGCTGGGATTAAAGGTGTGTGCCACCACTGCCGGGACTCTGTTGTTAACTCGTAGTTAGCTCTGCACTCTGATCTCCATACAAGCTTTATTTGTTAGAGAACAAACAAAATACCGCCACAGGACTTGTTAAACCACAGTGTCTCAGACCTGGCATAAGTGCCTCACCACATTTTGGGAAGTGTTATGTCTGATATTCTTTACCACGATCCAGTGTCAACTGTTTTCCTGCAAGCTACAAAGGGGAGGCTTGATCATTAATGTACATGACAACCCTTTTCAGTGGGGGCTTTTTTGTTGTTATTGTATTATCTTACTTTTCAACCAGGCCTATTTTCAGGGATTCACATTTCAGTGTGACAGCATTCATTATTCAGCAGGGCATTGCTTCACTTCTTTTCAAATCTCCTTGGGCTTCCATGTTGCTTCTGGACTCAGCAGACACTGAGAGGCATCTGTACTTGTCCTTGGTTCACTCAGCCAGGCCAGTAGGGCCACAGTGGATACAGCTCACAGCCACAACCCTTTGAATGTGTGCTGCAGATATTCCAACTGTGCCCAGGACAAGGCTTTCTTTGTTGGGACTAAATAATTCTGAGCTGAGGTGAAGTCAGTTTTGTGGACATCACTTTGATATATAAGAGTTAATTTGTCTTTTCTTTTGACTCTAATGGACAGTATTATAGAACACAACTTCAGGCAACTCTCTGAAGGTGCCCTACGAGCCTGGGTCCTAAGGAATATTTGTGACATACAGCTTTTTAAAATTGTTGAAAGGAATATTCTCAGTATTGTCTTTCACTCCTTTCTTCTAGGATTGCATCTTAATATTTTGGGAAATTAGTATGTATGATATTATTTCAGACTCTACTAATGTGTACTTTGGTGAGAATTACAACACTATCATTAAACCCTCTGTTGGTAGCTAGCATTATTGGCAGTCTTATTTTTCTTGCTTAGATTCCATTTTTTTTTTTCAGGTTCACCAATGTCAGTTAGATTGCCAATTAACAATGGTTCACTCCCAGACTCACAAGTTGAAGTTTATTCCTGTCAGGAGCTGAAAATTATTATGCTATTAGATAATTTTTCAGGGTCCAGACCACCGGTTCCAGTATCCTGGAGCCCCAGTCTTCATTGTATTGTAGATGCTCACTGATTTGCTGCTGAATGGCTAGCCTCAGTGGAGAATGTCTCCTAGTTTGCATCTCTAGGGCCTAAGCATTAAATAGGACTGCACCTGGGCTGAGGGCTAGGTCTACATGAGGAGAGACTGTTTTGAGGTATCTGCTGATAAGGTCTGGATGAAATGAAAGACTCCAGTTTGCAGCATGGAACTGAGAGCTCTCCAAAGATGACAAGATGCCTGTGTCTGGTCTTTACTGCTATTGAGTTGCTAGGAATTTCCAAGTCCATGCTCCCTCACTCAGGCCGGACCTTGTGGCTTCTGTGGTTTGGGGCTGAGACAAGCTGGGCTGCGACAATTCCTCGGCTATCTGATCCAGCTTTGTGTTTGTTTGTTCGTTGGTTTTGTTTTGTACCATATCTTACACTCTGTTCTCCCAGCACCAGAGGACTTGTCCTTTAGTTCTCACTACCTGTGATTTATATTAAAGGGGAACAGAGAACTGGTTTGACATTATTTGTTGGATATCTAGTATGGTTAGATATTCTTAAAAGCCCAAACATAGGGTTAGTAACCTTTCTCTTCAAGAGGTTCAGTATTTTGGACTTTTCCTGGACTTTTCCATAGAGTTTGATAATTTCTTAGCATAATTTCTTATGTCAAACTCTATGTTTGACATAAAAAGAGAAGACATAAAAATATGCAGGTAACAGACAGTATGTTCTAAAAACAACTTCACAAAGATAAGTAAATGCAAGTCGACATTTTGGCTCATGGGTTTTACTCTAAATAAGAGATATTTACTCTAATTTAATGGTGTTATCAACCAACTAGTGTCAGGTTCTTTTTCTACCTGGATGGGCAAAAAGGCTCTCCCCCAGGACTGGTCTTAAGCAGTGTTACCTCAGTGTTTGTCAAGGGTAGACAGAAAACAGCAGCAACAAGAGACACTCTGTAGTGTTACAGTCCTTGTTTTTGCTTCAGGTACCAGGACGCTAGGCAGTGGTGTAACAGATCCAGCCTCTTCTTGGCAGCTCCACGGAACTGTTCTCTGGCTGTTTTCAGGTTTTTACCATTCTTTAGTCAGTTCCATTGTCCTTTTCTTTTTTTTTATTTTTCCACTTCCAATTTCTTTGTGGCTCTGGCTGCATTCTAACAGTATAGCCACTTCTTCAACTCTTATGTTAATGCTTCATTCCACAAGTCATTGCCAACTGCTGGCATGAGTTAGCTGCTTCTCTCTGGACTGCATTCAAAGCTAGAGTGCAAGTTGAAGCATCTACTCCAACTGAGGAGCCAATGAATCTGATGTGCTACTGAGGAAATGGACACTGGCAAAGGTTGAGAATCACTTAGGTATGAGTATCTGTACATGAATGAACTGGATCTGTTGTTAGTCTTTTGTTGGGCACATCCAGGTCACTGAGCCACAAGTCTCTGTCTTTGTTGCTTCTTTCTTCATATTACTAGCTCAGCATTCTCTATTGAAAATAGGCATGGAAATGACACCCAAGAGAAGCACTCAATATGCCCAATGACACACCACCACCAGAAAGGATCATATAGGAGAGTGTCTACCAGCCCACTTTCTTAAGAGTGTCTCAGTAGCCTGTTAATATCTCTAGAGCATGTGTTTAATCCAGTCACAGCTATTTGTTTGGATCAATCACAGCCTTGCTTCTTAGTCATAGTCCCAATAGTTCTCCTAGGAGAATTACTTCTTGCTGGTAAATGTAGAAATAGTTGCAAGTTCACCTAGAGCAGTGGTTCTTAACCTTCCTAATGGTTTGAACCTTTAATACAGTTCCTCATGTTGTGGTGACCAGTCTGTAATTTTGCTATGAATCATAATGCAAATATCTGATATGCAAGTTATTTGATATGTGACCCCTGTTAAATGGTCATTTGACCCCCCAAAGAGTCTGCAACCCATACATTGAGAACCACTGATCTAGAGTTCACTAAAGCCTGTGACTGTGAAAAGTCTAATACAAATAAATAAAAGTGGCTAGAGCTACATGTTCAGGAGCCAGTGCAATCAGCTGCAATCTTTTACACAGTTGTTTCAAAGAACAGGAGAATGTTCAAGATAGCTGGTGCTAGCATTAAAGTAATACAGCTGACTTTTATACTGGTAGTCCTTCTACTCAAGGCAGTAAGAGAGTGTCCAACTCTTGCTAATCAGGGAATCAGATTGCCCCCATATCAGCATTTTTGCTTATTCACAGGAGATTGAATGGTAGAAGGAATACCTACAATATGCACACAAGGAAGACATTAGCATGAACACTGATAGGGATGTTTAAAACAGATTTTAGTCTCATTTAATGGTGCTTAATACCTACCCAGTGTCACAAGGAACAGTGAGTCCCCCTCATCTTTATCAGTGGGATTACAAGAAAATAATTAAGTATAATTTTGGAAAATGTGGTTAATGTTTTTTAAATTTCATTTTTAAATTTAAATTTCTTACCTTAATCAAAACATACAGATAGAGGAAAGAGAGAACTCCTCTAATAAGAATTTAGTAAATTCTCCTGAAGAGTCAGACTCGTGTGTGTGTGTGTGTGTGTGTGTGTGTGTGTGTGTGTGTGTGTGTGTGTGTGTAACTATATATAGTTTCATTGTTCTTAGTAATACTAAAGTAAAGATACTAAATCATGGGTTTTGGGGTACAGTAAATTTTTTCAATGGCATGTAAAAGTAAAAAAAAATAGGGTTCACTAAGTCTATCTCATTCACTCAAACTGGAATGGAAATGTGAGAGGGGATACTCAGTGCTCAGTTGCAGCAGGGCCTCCATTCATCTCCTGTTCTTGTTATGCTGGGTTGTTCAAGGGTCATACTTCTTCTTTTTAAATTTTTTGTTTTATTTGAGTTACAAACAAGATTGAATTACATGACAATCCCAGTTCCCTTCTCCCTCCCTTCCTCCCCTACCACCCTCCCAAATAAAACCCTACCTATCACATATCTTTCTTCTAATCTATACCTGACTCAACCTTTCTGCTCCCTCAAGCCATACTTCTAATAGGCCATGTAAACCATAAGTTCCGTCACTTTTTGCTATAGCTGAAATTTTGTTATACCTAGGAGCTTGATAAAGTGCTCAGTGAGGACAATGCCAACTCCAGAATCAAAAGTGTAATGAAATATTTGATGTTATTAAAGTCACAAGAGACAACATTGTCCTCAGTGTAGCTCAGGATGCACTTTAGGGGATCCCCCAAAGCCTGCTTCACTACCTTCCTGATATTGTATATGGCTGCTTTCTTTAGGTGGGCAGTTAGAGCCATGATGAACACATAAAGTGTAGAAATGCAGAAGACTATGTCAGTAAGATAATCATATAGCTCTGGAATTACCTTGCCCCCAACTTTGGCCTTGCTGGTGGATGCAGGATTTGTTTTGATCAGGCTCATGGTCATGCCAAGTTCCATGATCTTCTGGGTGGGAGTGGTGTCATGCACTGTGGTCATGTGTCTTCTCACAATGCTGAGGTTGTTGTGGATGACCTTGGCCAGAGGCTAAATAACTGGTATTACAGGAGGCATTGATGACAGTATTGAGTTAATTGTCATCCTCATTTATACCCATCAAAAACATTGAACATTAACAAAAAAGGCAGAGAGGATAGCTATTTTGGCTTCACACCATTTCAGGGGCTTCCACCTTTCTCCATGGTAGTTGAGACACTGGTATATTCCATAGCATATATGGTTCCAGCATCACCTTGCTTGATGTTGGTGAGATCTTACTACTTCAAGGTGGAGATGACTTTCCCATTAAGGACAATTTTCCCATTCTCAGTCTTGATTGTGCTGTTAAAGTTGAGGTTGATGGATATATCTGACAGAAACGATATCACTTTGAAATAATTGAAGGCAACACTGTTGAACAGAGGTTATACCAAATCTGTTTATTTTGACTTTCACCATCATGTCTCATGTTTGTATTTGTCATTGCACAGAACATTAAAGACAAGGATAATCTTCTTACCCATTATGTAGGCATAGTTTTGGAATCCAAATATTTCCATCCTAACATGATTTTCATTTAGCTTCAAGAAATTCTAAAGGAGAAAGTTTATTGTAGAAGGAAGCTGCTTAGGATTCAGGAAGTAAACAATTCACAAGTCCCAGGAAGTCTCCTAAACTTACAAGATTTACAACATCTCCCTCTAAGATTATAAAATCAATGAAGATTTCTGGATAGAGAAGAGATTCTCTATCCAGAATCGCCAGCTACTTGCATCACTCAGATAATTATTATGTGCTTTTCAGTGAGACAGTTGTTTTTGAATTACTTATGATTCTGTAAGCCATCATTCATGTTTCATTGGCAGCTCCAAAAATCTCATTGGTTCATCAAGTTGGACTTCGGTAGAATGATTGATTTGATCTGTGGTTGGTTTATTACCTGTGGTGAGCAGGCATTTGTTCATGTATCTCTAGGAAATGTCACACAATTATTTGTCCAAATGTTTTATTAAACTCTTTGCTGCTGCAAAACCAACACAGCAAAACAAACCTATTTATCTAGTTCTTGCCGCTGTCTGCCATTCATTAAATGATGCCATTTTTATTGAATCATGTCTGAAAGAGTATCTACTGAGTACTGAATATGGAGAAATAGACATATAAAAAATTAAAAACAAGTAGGAGCTAATGAATTAGAAACTAAGTAGATACTGCAAGAAATGTAACACGAATAATAAAAGACCCAGAGACTGCTACTGGCATTCAAGCTTCAAGCTGAAGATCAGAAAAGCAAAGCCACTGGCTGTCCCGCGCGCGCTGTATTTTCTCGCCAGCAAGAAATACACGCAGGACACTCGGATCCTTCTGCAGACAAGCTTTAATGCATCTTGTGAGGGGAGAGCATAAGCTTACCAGAGCGGAGACACTGAACTAAGAAAACCCATCCTTTATAAAGGCTGGCCAGCCGCCTGGGACGTGTTACCCTATGAATGGCTTCAGCTCCTCAGGCCAAATGAGCCACGGGATAGGCAGAGATCAAAGGAATGGAGATTACCCAGCGCCTGTGAAGTAATTTACATCTTGGTGTCTTCAGGCACCATTATTGTAATGGATAATGCAGGAACCGGCTCCCTACAACTGGCCACTAGCTCTCACTTCTACTGAAAGGTGATCCTGCCTCTTCAGACTGCAATCCTTGACTGTTATACTTTCTTCAACATGGCTGAAAAATGAATGCCAGCTCTGAGACCTTGTTCCTATTTTATATACCACCCTGACACTGGGGATTAAAGGCATGTAATCCCAGGTGCTGGGATCAAAGGCATGAGCTCTGTTACTCTTCACTCTTGTGTAGGTCATGGTGGCCTTGAACTAACAGAGATCCATGTACCTCTTAATCCTGAGTCCTGAGATTAAAGGTGTGTACCACCACTGTTTGATCTCTATAGCTTGAGGCTGACTTTGCTTTCTGAATCCTCAGATAAGTTTTAATAAATGATAAACGATATGTCACCATACAAGAAGGGTGTGCAAAAAGCTATAATTGTAGGACTCCAGCTAATGTGAAAGTTTGATGGTGTTATAAACGAATGGACAGTACAAGTGTCATGGATATAGGATACAGATGTTGTAAAAACTAGACTTGACAAACACTATTGTACAGAGCAGTCACATGTGAACTGTAAACTCTCAGAATTCATTGCATGGTTGACTTTTGTAATACAACTGAAGTGTAAATAACCATTTTAGCAATTTTTTAACATTTTAATCATCCACGAATTATAAAGATAATAAAGGTAGAACATTGCGTATCCATTTCCTTGCATTTAGCACATGACCTTGAATATAATACAAGCTCAATAAGTACATGTTGATTGATTGACTTGAATACATGAATTAATTTAGCCAGGTACATTTTCCTGGTACATAGCCAGAGCTCAATTCTTATAATAACTTTTCCAGCTTTTACCAGTGAAACAGCCTCTTCCAAGGAAGGATTCCTATAATCCTCTTGAGCTTTTCGTATGCCCCTCCTAGTCTGTGGCCATTGCCAGGAAGATGTGCTCAAAACACCTAGTGTAACTGAGAATCTTGCATCATTCCCTGGGAGAAGAACTATCAATTCGTGTTGCTAAGGAGAGACAAGGTTGAAACTCCAAGAGGTCATCAGTGCTCTTAACACTGCCTTTGTGTTGTTTTTATACAAATATTTTTACTGGAACACTTTTTGGCAGATGAGGCCTTCTCCGAGGACTGTGGAGAGCAGGAGAACTTTGTTCACCACATGCCAATGGTATGCACTTGAGTCAACTTAGGGCCAGGGTGATTTCAATTCATGTCCTTTTCACTTCTGTCTTGATGCTTTCCCACTGACTCAGTGTCTACCCTTTATCCTTTCTTCAAATGGAAAACAGCTGGGCTAAAGTGAAGTTCATGCCCAAATCTCCTACTTTACTCTCTTATCAAGGAAGCAGTTGCTTTTACTAACATATTAACTTCAGTACAGATGTTTTGCTAATTATCCAAATGTGCAATTTGGCAGCTTACTAGTAGAGTAGCCAAAACAGATTCACACATTTAAGCATCATCTGCTACTCAGTTATGGTGATTACCTTTAAGGGGTCTTATGTCATTTACATGTGAGAAGATACCTTTTTCTTGAGGTAGGTTTAAGAAAACATAAACAGTGACTGGCTATGGGTATAATGGAGAGGGGAATGGAGTTATATGGGTTACCCAGACCCCTTAGGAAAAGAATTGGAACTATCTAGGTTGCCCAGACCCCAGAGAGTCAGAGCATGCAGAGGCAGGGAGCAGGATGACCTTAGGGATGAGTCAATTGGGTCACTCAGTCCCAGAAAGATGGAATATAGCATATGGCAGTGAAGTCCAAAGTGGAAAACTAGAGGTCCGAGAGTAGGCAATTAGCAGCAAGTCTCCAGAGGTATCCAAGTGTTGGAAGCTAGATACCTTCTCAAAAGGATTCCTGGTGCATTAGCAATCTCTGTGAACTGTGTATGTAGAAACTTCAGAACAAATGACCTTGAATAGCATATGGAGAGATTATATTTGTAGTCTTCCTGTTTTCACATCTCATAGGCTATACAAGTTAAGAGCATATTATCATCCTCTGCAGCAATCATCAATTTTTATGAGACCATAATAATTACTATGGAAGTTAAAGTTCCCCCATTCATAAATCCAATTGAAAACAACCTACCAGAAGAACTCACATAAAACAAAATAAAAACTGTATTAAAGAGAGAAAAAGTACAGAAGATGTCTATAGTCTAGCAGATGTGTAAAACACAATAAAGAGAAAAAAAAGAGACAGCATTCCACTGTGAGAATTCAATAAAGACCAAACAAAAAACAAACATGATCCATTTTCAGACAAGTCAAAAAGAGTAAGAACACTAGTAATTTAATTTTTTATATTCATGTGTGTTTATCCTGCATAATACCTGCATAATGAGGGTGTGTCAGTAACTGAACCCTCAAGGGCTCTTAACATCTGAAGCATCTTCAAAGACCCAGAATACTATTCTTTAAAAAAATGTTAAAGAGCAAGCAAAGGACTTAAATAGACAAGGAGTTGAGTCCAATATATGGAAAAAGTTTACAAAGTCAACTCAAGACATAGAAAAGAACAATATCAAAGTGTATGAAAGAATAAGAACTATGGAGAATAATTTTATGGAAGAAAAATTGAGAAAGGAAATAGAGACACAAAAAATATACAGAACAGAAATTTTAGAAATGACTCAATCTATAAGCACATAATACAAAAACAAAAAAGCACCAGTAGACAAGACCAAGGAGAAAAAATGAATTTCACGGATGGTGAACAAGGTTGAACACACACAATTTCCAATGAAAATGACCAAAACCTCCAAGGAATATGGGGTATATTGAAGAAACCAAGTCTAAGAATAATTCATTGTATAGGAGAGGAGCCTAGGTAAAAGCAAACAGTCTAGACTAGACATGATTATCACTGGATTATAGCTGAAACCTGTAGAAAAAAGTAGACAACCAAACACAGGAAATACTTAGAGTTCAACTAGACAAGACCCAGGAGAAAATAATAAGTGACCCAACATAGTCAAGATGTCAAAAGTACAAAACAAAGAAACAGCATTAAAAGCTATACAGGGAAACTAGAACCTAAGAAAGAATAGGATGATACACTCCAAGCTTTGAAGTTAAATAGTTGTCAATCAAGATTGCTATACACAGCAAAATTATCCAGTGACATTAGGAGAGATAAGAATATTTGAAGACAAATGCAAGTTAAGACAATTCACAACTTATCCAACAATGTATGGAATTCTTTAAGTCCTACTGTATGTAGAGGAAAAAGAATGTTTTGTACAAGAACCCAGGGCAGAATACAGTCTATGAAAGCAACAGATGAACAGACTAGAACAGGAAAGAAATCAGTCATGTCCAACACATCAAACCAGCAGGCATCCAAAAATACCAGGAAAGGAAGAAAA